TGCGCCCCCGGGGCCGGGCTGAGGGGCCAGACCCGGGGGGCGGCCCGGGGGCAACGACCGCCCTCGGGTTAGAAGCCCATCTCGGCTTGGAAGGGAGGAAGGCTTACTTAAACAAGGCTTACTTGAAGAAGTCTTCCAGTCACGGAGCCAAGAGGTGGGAGGAGGGTGTAGGTTGTGTCACCGGGTGGGGCGGTGGCCATTTCGGGGGGACTTGTGCAGACGGGAGCGGGACGGGCTTTGGGGACATCCCTTATCCTGAGGGTCGGGGGGAAGCACGGTGTGAACTTGCAAAGTGCGTGGTTTGCGCCACGGCCTCATTGCGTGTGGGTATCCCAAAAATTTCCAAAGAAAGGGTATTCTGAAATGCCCTATAGAACCGGACTGGAAACGCGCAGTGAGCAACACATGTTCTGCGTTGACATGCCTTATGCTGCAGATAAATTTAGGAGCTTTTAGAAAGCTTTCTTTTTAGCTTTTTTAGAAAGCTTTTTTCTTTTTAGAAAGTCAGTTGCATCTCCTTTTTATGACCACCTGTAGTTTTGCTGTTCTTAGATTTAAAACTGTCCTGTTTACTTTTTTTTTTTTTTTTAGGAACTGTGTGTATTTGTTCCCTTTCCTTCTCAGAGTTATGCAGTTTGTGTTCTGTGCTGCTGCTTCCAATATAATTGCTTAGGTGCATACTGAAATGAATTAAAACTCTGTAACGTAGATAACATTCGAATGGCCAGAAGGTATGATGTGGGAGGGGGGGATAACAACTTCTGCAAAAGGGGACTTCTGTTTAAAAAAAATAAATAATAAAAATCCCAAATTAACTCCCAGGGAGTTACTTTTATCTCCACAGAATTTTGTTTTCATGATAAATAGAGCTTGCGTATCTTCCGTAGGCAGTTGTCACTATCTCAGGCAAGGTAGCGTATCTATGCTTTTAAACATAGTGTTACGACTCTGAGATAAAGCCGTGTTGCTGTGCTTGTGTTCGTTAAGCTCGTCAGGGCTACGCAGTCTATCATCAGAATCGCTGCTAGGGTAGTCTTGACTGGTGGCCTCTTACAGGAGGTGATTTTACGTGTACTTTTCTGGTGCGCTTCCTACTCTCAGGCTCATGGTTCAGGCTTGTCTTCATCACACGCTTCCTGTTTTGAATCACTCTGCCATGTTCCTGAAAACAGATTTGACCTATCTTTCTAGCTTCTCCCCTGCTGTATTTTGCTATCAGCTTATGCATATTTTGATTGTGTCCACAACTGGATCTCTTTTAGAAATGATTCGAATAAATTCCAGCACAAACACTTAATTAAATTAAATTTCAACCTGAAATACCCATTTTTTTCATCACCTGACAGCTCGCTCACTGTTCCTTCAGACTGTCTGACGCTGTGTTCCTTCTCCCTTTCCATTCCCCATCTGTTACTTGGGAGCAAGTAAATGGTACCAAGCCAGGTACGAATTGTACAGAGGGGCTACAAATCGTTGTGCAGTTTCATTTAAAAAAAAAAAACCAAAACCAAAACAAAACCACCTCTTTTTCAGTTAAACCAGGGTGACTCAGAAAACAGGTTGCAGTGTTTAACTTCCCACTGCTTTTCGATCAGTCCACTCTCCATCGCGCGTGCTGTCAAATCCGCTCTGTTCCCTATCATTTAGGCTCCGAAATCGTGGGCTGAGCTGCTGTCTGGCCTCCCCAACACGGAGCAGGAGCAAAGAGCATTCACTTGGCCCGTCGTGCTGAACCTTCCAGTTCCCTCGCCGAATCCGTCTGTTGCCTTTCCTTTTGTTTCTCTTTTATTGTCGTCTTTTTTTGCATCACACCATCCGCATTTCCAGTGGCGCCAGTTTTTGACAGCTTCTACACAAACGTCGACTCTTTCGTCAGTGTGGTTTCTTTTAAGTAGAATTTACAAGCTGAAATTACAAGCAAGGCCTCAGCTTTTTTTCTTCAGAAGGATTTTAAAGCCCTGTTTCTGCTATGAAATGACCAAAAAAACAGTAGCTGACTTTGTCATGGCTAAGCAGCCGTTGTTGGGAGCCAGCTGAGGTGGGCATCAAGGTGGACGTAAAGAAAAAAAACCTGATGGTGACTGTTAGTCGAAACAGTGAGGCTCAGGAGCAGCCTGTACCTAGTGATTGCAGCAAGAAATGGCTTTCAGAAGCAGCCCATTAGTTTGTGAATGGGTGTGCGATAAGGTTGTCTGTAATGAAAAGGGACGGGGCTCATTAATCTGGAAGGCTGCCTCCAGTCTTGGGTGGTGAGCTTAGCGCTAATGCATCTCATTTTGTTGTTACTTTTTTCCTTCTTAGAAGTGAAAGTTGTTAAAATAATGGAATGATTTAATAAGAAGGTTGCGTGCTTGTTGTTAATTTGTTTTTTTTTTAAATTAGGATAGGTTCTTTTCCTAAAACATACACTTTAAATTGGCTCTGGGCTGTGATAGCTATCAGCTGTGAATAGATGCTCCCATCCCTTGTGGTTCCAACAGGTTTGCCTACATTGCCTTCAGCACACACACCCCATCAACTCTCCTTAAAAACCACAGCTATGATCAGATCTCCTGTTTCAGGGATTCAGTAAATTTATTGCATGGGTCAGAGAAGACGTTTATGATGCACAGTCACTTAGATGTACTCTGACAGGATGCAGAAGTTCTCTCATCAGATACCAGGCTTGGGTTGAATTTGCTCATTTAGCCTCAAACTCATCTCTGGATTTGAAATTAAGAAGAATTTTCCAAAGTAGAAGGGACCTTGAATTCCTCTTTCTCTCTCCTGGGATGCGCTCGATCTGCAGATCGGTTTTGCTCCTCGGTTGCCCGTTACCGCAGGAGGGCTCTTGGCACGTTGAGTTTCATGTGTCACGGCCAGAAAACGGGAGTTTCTTCAGAAGACTGAGCGAAGAGCAGCAGAGGGACCTCAGTTTGCTGTCCCGTGGTGCGTGTATTCGGTTTCAGTCTGATGTAACGTTCCTACTCGGTTTTACACTTTTTGATGTCTGAAGCTAGGTCATAGCTAGGATGTGTTATTTACTGCTTCCACCTTCCACCAGTCTTCTTTCTGGTTTGCTTATAAGGTGGCTTCGATTTGGATCTGTTCAGAGCTGAAGTTAACTTGCTTGACCGTTTTTGATTTTACTGAGCCTTTAACCTGACACATCTGTATCTCGCCCCTTTTTTTTTTTCTTTTAACTGTGACACTTTTAGGTGTGTTTATTATTTAATGTGGAGATTAAAAACATTGTAATAATATAGGACTGAAGACTGAGTAGTGTGTGAAAAAGCATGACTGCTGTTACTATGGTTTATTTATGGACTTCTGAGTTTTTCAGAAATATTTCTGTAGGACTCTGCTAAATGACATGTAAGCCCTTCAAGAAGGTAATAAACATAGCGTCCTGTTACGCTTACAAAGGACAGTATTCTATTTTCATAGGAAGAGCTGCAAACAGTGGGGCTTTTTTCAGAGTTCCCACAGCAGGGAACTCCTGCATCCCCCGTAGGCGCAAGGACTGTCACTTCCCCAGCATCCAGAGGCCCAGCAAGGCTGTAACATTTACAAGCTCATATAGTGGCTAAGCAGTAAAGCTACGGTTAGAAGGCAGGGCTCCTCATTTCAGACCCTGTGTTTGGCACACATGGTCATGTTGCTTTTTGCGTAGTAATTAATGTATTCTTTTTCAGATCCCTGTTGGGCCTCTATAAACAGGGGGATTCTGATCTGTGATGAGTGCTGTAGTGTTCATCGAAGTTTGGGGCGTCATATCTCTCAAGTGAGACATCTCAAGCATACACCATGGCCTCCAACACTGCTGCAGGTAAAAAGGAAAGCTGTCTTCCTTCATTGAAACTAGATATAATAATTTTCTTTAACATTTTAATGGAATCACAGCAGGGAACTCCTGCATCCCCCGCAGGCGCAAGGACTGTCACTTGCCCAGCAAGGCTGTAACACTTACAAGGTCATATAGTGGCTAAGCAGTAAAGCTACGGTTAGCCACAGCAGGGAACTCCTGCATCCCCCGTAGGCGCAAGGACTGTCACTTCCCCAGCATCCAGAGGCCCAGCAAGGCTGTAACATTTACAAGCTCATATAGTGGCTAAGCAGTAAAGCTACGGTTAGAAGGCAGGGCTCCTCATTTCAGACCCTGTGTTTGGCACACATGGTCATGTTGCTTTTTGCGTAGTAATTAATGTATTCTTTTTCAGATCCCTGTTGGGCCTCTATAAACAGGGGGATTCTGATCTGTGATGAGTGCTGTAGTGTTCATCGAAGTTTGGGGCGTCATATCTCTCAAGTGAGACATCTCAAGCATACACCATGGCCTCCAACACTGCTGCAGGTAAAAAGGAAAGCTGTCTTCCTTCATTGAAACTAGATATAATAATTTTCTTTAACATTTTTAATGGAACTTAAATTGCTAAGCTTTTGCTTGAGAGGGGCTGGTCCTTGTAAACTGCCTAAGTTAATCACCTTTTGTTTCTCCTGTTTTGCCATGTGGACTACTAAAATCAGAATTGTCTGTGCCTTTTTAATTTGATGCCTTCGTTTTGGAAGGTCAGCTTCAACTTTTCTTTCAGACTCTGCAGTTCATCTGCTTCAATCTAAATTTTCGATCTATAGCAAGCCTCTCTTTTTCAGTAGAGCTGATGTTGGGACGCATAGAGAATTTTAAGGGGGTTCTTACTACATTCCACATAATAACCTCCTAGGCATGCGCCTGGTTCTGATATCCCGGTGGGTTATAGATGCTGGCACGCAGAATGTGAATCTCTGTTGGTTTGCCGTCCGTTTGAAAATAGTTACAGCTATTTGATTAGTCAGTCTGTGCCACTAGCAGCAAAATGTCTGTACTGCCTGTTTGTATGCATTTTGGATTTCAGATGGTTGAAACACTGTATAATAATGGTGCTAACTCTATATGGGAACATTCGTTGCTGGACCCTGCCTCTGTTATGAGCGGAAGGCGCAAAGCTAGCCCACAGGATAAAGTGCAGTAAGTGGAAAATTACAGGATTTTAATTTTTGTAGAAGTGTGATTATTTTATTCAGCAGTGACCGGGGGGAGCAGCAAGGTCTTCATGGGAACCTGTGTATATTTTGTTGCTGGAAGAGAACAGGAGTAAACTAGTTATTTGTTCACTCATTTTTTAATTTTAATTTTGTTTTTAAGTTCCCAATGATTAATTTTTTTTAAATTTATTGCAAAAATGGAAATACATTGCTTGAATTCTCTGGACTATTGATCCTTGACCTCTAGCTTTGAATAGCGAGGACCTTTATTTGTACTTGAACCGAAAGACTTCTAATTCTCATGCCACGTGCTTCAGTTAACTGAATGCTACTAATGAGATTGAGTTTGGTTGATGAATTAAAAAAAATTGAGAGATTTCTGTCACTGAATATGGTGCTTCATTTTAAAATGTAAATAACTGCATATGGTACGTATAGATCTTAAGTTGGCATAGTTTTAAGTTCAGTGTTTACTTCTAAGAAATACATGCTGCATCCCAGAGTCTGCAGATATTTTGTTGTTTGTAACAAAAGTATGCTTTGTATGGTCAGACAACCTGCACTGGGTTGGTTTTTTTTTTTTAATGAAAATATTTTTCCATGTCTAACTTTGCTACTAGTAGCATGCAAAGATCTAATGCAACCTTCATGTGTGAATTTTCCTTTTTCTAGAGCATCTGTATTATTGTGAAAGCACCGATATTTAATTTCTTTCCCTTCTGTTGCTTGGGTTTCTCTTTACAGTCCCAATAAAGCAGAATTCATTAGAGCTAAATATCAAATGTTAGCATTTGTTCATCGCTTGCCGTGCCGTGAAGATGACAGTGTGACTGCCAAAGACCTCAGTAAGGTTAGTATGTTTTTCCTGGCAGTCTGCAGAAGCTACAACTTGTGTGTAACAGAACAGTGAAATCCCACTGAATTAAATTAGTTGCTTTTGACTTGAGGTAACCATTGCTGTTCTTCAGCACTATTACATAAACAAATACAGCTTGACTTCAACTTGAAGCCACTTTTTTGGCATAATGTATATGCATACTGGAGATGTGGATGGTTGAGAGGCATCAGTTTAGGTTAACTTGGAGAAAAACGTTTACACAAAACAGCTGTAGCAAGAATTCTTGCATGCCTGTTTCTAAAAGCATGGCTGAAAAAACAAACGTTGAATCACAGTTATTGCCACTGTATTAAGTACAATCCTGCTTCTTTTTCAGCAACTCCACTCCAGTGTAAGGACAGGGAACCTGGAGACGTGTTTGCGATTACTCTCCTTAGGAGCTCAAGCCAACTTCTTTCATCCTGTATGAACACTTTTGTCATTATTTTGATACACAATCAATCCTTACAGTTCTTAATATTTATACTGATTTCAGCTGCTACAGATTATATTTCAATCTTCTACTCAGACCTGTTGATTAAGTAGATACTTTTCTTAATAACTTGTAGGAGAAAGGAAACACCCCGCTCCATGTGGCTGCTAAGGCAGGACAGACTTTACAAGCAGAATTACTAGCGGTTTATGGTGCTGATCCTGGCACGCAAGATTCCAATGGAAAAACTCCAGTTGACTGTGCAAGGTAGAAGGCTCCGACATACGTGATGCTCTTATACGTTAACTGATGTTCATATGACGAACCCGCTTAGATATGTTTCTGTCCTGAAAATAATTTGACTGTTAAATGCTAGTAAGTGCTTTTTCCAGAAAGAGCGAATGCATAAAGAATATAAATAAGCATTTCCATCATTTCATAGCCTGTATTCTCCTGGATGCTTGAGACAACAGTTGTGATCCCAGTGAAACAGGCTGTGCCAATCCAACACCTCACAGGAAAGTAATCCGAGGAGAATAGTTTCTGCAAGTTCAGCAAGCTGAGTAGACTCCAGGAGTGTGGATTAGCTAGGGAATTGCTGTAGGAAGGGGCTGGGCTGCACAGGGGGGGTCAGGGAGCAGGGGCTGGAACCAGGCTTTTTAGGGGCAGGGAGCTGTTTGGCGCATCCAGTCACAGAACTGCACCCTGAGGAAAGCCTGCCTTTAGAACGGCTCTAGGCTTCCCAAGGGCAGACAACATTCGCATCAAGAAAGAAAAATTAAACCTGAATGTCTCTGCTGGGCAGTAATGAGGCACAGCACTGAAGATTTTTTGTGTTGATATACAAAATTGGACATGACTGATCAACTAGAAGATGCGCATTTGTGTAAATAAAACAACCTCAGTGCTCTGATTGCTTTTGAATCGAGGCCATCCGTGGAATCTGAAGACTGAATAACCTCACTTGGTTGCTGAACACAATATGCCAGATATTTCTATTTGTAAATAACGTATTCAAAATAGCCTAAATAATCTGGTTTTTTTCTACACAAAGCAGGAGGCAAAGGTTTTCAGAGTTTTCACTCATTTTGGGAAGTTCATAGAAGTTTTATATATAGGGGGGGTTTTGCCCACTGGAACATACTGTTGAAAATTGTGCTGTGAGTCTGTGCTGTGTTGATACACTCAAACATGCGCAATGTTGGACAGTGGCTTTTACTAAATCTACTTCTTTGACCACTTTTTAGTTTTTTGTATGTCTCAAAATTAATAACTGATGTAAGGTGTGTGTGTGTGTGTGTAATCCAGACAAGGCGGGCATCATGAACTGGCAGAGCGCCTGGTGGAAATTCAGTATGAACTCACAGACAGGCTGGCTTTCTATCTCTGCGGCAGGAAACCAGGTCAGTAGAAAAAAATACACTCCAAGATCTTTCAGTGTTAATTGTAGGACAGTTCAAACTCTACGGTATCTGATGTTTGTGTCAGTGTTACTATACTTTTTATATGCATTTCAAATATTCTAACGTGATACAAATTATACTTGAAGAACTAAAGAAAGTATAACATGAAAGATTAGTGATAATTCATTTAAAATTCAGATAAAACTGCAGGGGTTTAAGTATACCTTAATTAAAAATTAAGTTCCTTTCTGTTTCTCCACAAATATGGAACATGTGGAGAAACCTACATGTAAGGTCAGATGAGTCCTGTTTAACTTCAAAGAGTCAATTGCAGGGAAAACACAAATTCTGGGAATGTTGAATAGTCTGCAGGAGATGGTGGAGAAACTCTTCAAAGCAGTTTCTTCTCATGGAAATGCAAAAGCCAGGGGAGTATACAATTCAGTCGGTAGCTTTTGAACACAAGCACCCTAACAAATTTTTAGCCATTAGGTGCCATAAACGCACCTATGCTAGAACTTAATTTTTTTTTTCTAGTGGAATTTTATTATGGTTGATAAGCCTTAATTGGAATCTTTGATAACACCAGCAGATCGTGACAGGAACCTTCTTTTAAGACTCACTAGCTTCCTATAATTGGAGATTGAGTAATTACATGCAAGATAAATTATTCTATGTTTGCCTGTTGCATATATTCTTGGGTTTCTCATTACTAGTCTTTTAGTAAAACTGAATACCAGCTGTATATCCTGACAACACTGAAAACTATAGTCCAGTAACAACCTGCTACAGTGCAATTTGTTTTCAATTCTAGAGCATAAAAATGGACAGCACTTTGTTATACCTCAGATGGCAGACAGGTAAGTTGCTGATTCCATGGCATGTCTGAAAACATCAAAATAAAAACCCTGATAATTAAGTTTCCTTTCCTGTCTGAAACAACTTTTAAGCTTGTTGTCATTCTGACTTTTTAATGTGTGCCTTTCGGTCTTGAAAGCTTTTTTTTTCTAGAAAGAATATTGCCATTTAAACAAATTCAGAAAATCATAGAAGTTTAACTGTATTTAAACAGCAGGGGGAAGGTGAGACACTTATATTAAGGGCACACACATGAGGATTCCAGATTTTGTAGCTAATGTAAGGACCGACTGAGTTAGATTCCTGACAGAGCATTTTGAAACTAAAACTTGCAAGAAAGCAGTGTTTTTCTCTGAAAATATTTATACTTTTGATCATCTGGATACTTTTAACTGTTGGTTACAATCAGTGAAGTCATGTTTGTATAAAGCTTGCCAAGTATTAATCATAAGTCCATGTTTTTCTTTTATTGCTATGCAATTGGAAATAAGACGGCTGTAAGTAAACTGTTGTTCAACTTATTGCTTGCAAAATTTCTATTAAAAATTGTAATACAATAAAAATTAGAGAAACTATGTAATAGTTGGTAAAATACTTAGTGTTAACATTGTGATTTTTTTAGATATGCTGTGTTTAGGTCTTGGGTAAAAACACTGTGTATTTTCAGCGCAGGGTATTTTGCGGAGCAGAGTAAGTATTGTTTGCCTTGTTACACAGAGGAGGAAGTTGACGTGCAGAGAAAATGACTTGTCCAAAGGTGCTGCTCGGATTGCAGAGCCTGCAGTCCAACCTGACTGTCTGCTGACTGTCTTACCTCTGCCTGCTGGTCGTCATCTTATTTTCCTTTTTTTTTTTTTTTTTTTCCCTCCCCCTAACTCCCTGTGATGGCAGTCAATCATACAGAGGTTTTATTTGAGCCTTTCCCTCCCTGCAGGCCAGGGGAATCTCCCCCCAGGTGATACAAATATAGATTCAAAACTTGTCAGCTTCTTCATCTGTGGCCTTTATGCTAAATTCTGTTCAACTGCACAATTTTCAGCTAGTGCCTCATGTTCAAGGCTGGAAGCTACTAGAAGAGGTTATTTACTAATCAGTACAGAACACTTTTACGTCTGGCCCTATTGCCGTAGCCGTTTGCCAGCCTGATGGTCACCCACCTCCTGCAGAGTCCAGTGGAACAAATGCTGGTTTTTCTGTGGACTCAAGTTTTGGTTGAATGATCATATTGTTCAGCTTCCTTACAGAAAGCATTTTGTTGCACTGCAGCTTGACTGCTTCTTGAGCTGTGCAAATGTGGGTATTCATATTCCAAAGTATTTGGGGGATTCTTTTGTTTTAAATTTGATTGCTGTTTAGAGAAGCTTAAGAATATACTAATTGGTGTATTAGCAATATTAGTAAGATCAATGTGTTAAAGACTATATTAAAAATACTAAAAGATTAAGGAGTTTCAAATAAAAGTGATGTTTTAATAATTGAATTATTGAAATGTAGAACTGGTGTTTAAACAAGGTATTAAATGCTGTAGATGTAATGATCACTTTCTGTTTTCATAGCAGTCTAGATTTATCAGAACTTGCAAAAGCAGCTAAGAAGAAGCTTCAGTCTGTAAGTAAAACTTGCAGTGTGCTGTGTGACCCAACTTTGTCTGGATGTGGCAAACTCTGCACTTCATCTTTCAAGCTGGTTTCAGCTGCTGTCAGTTCCTGCATAAATAAATGTCAACGCCGCAGGAAGTTAAAAGTCTGGAGAAAAACATGAAACCAGACAGAAATAGAGGAGCAGGGATGATAACAAACCCGTGACAGAGAGCAAATACTTGTTGGTCTTGTTTGGGGTAGTATCTCTAGATCTGTCTTCCCAGTTTAGAACCTTAAACTTGGTTGTTTGGCTTGCTCTCATGTATTTTATGTAAATCTGTATGTTAAATGTTACTATTGGCCTTTAACTTTCTGGAAAGCCAGAACAGTGCACTACTGTCTGCTAATTAGTTGAGAAAAAAATTCCATTAACCAGTAAAGGAAAAGTGTAGAACAGTGGTGTTGTCTCTGTATCTAGCAATCAGGTGGTCATATGTGTCTGCTTAATGCATTACTTCACTGTCCAGGCTGAGAAACAAGCAATTATATGGGCTGAAAAACAGCAGAGGGAGAGCAGAGTTGTGCTCTTACATTTTCTATGTTACAGAGGTCTCACTAGGTTTCATTTATTTTCAAGCTGTAATTATTCTCTTCTACCCTTAGCTCAGCAACCACTTATTTGAAGAACTTGCCATGGATGTGTATGATGAAGTTGACAGGAGGGAAACAGATGCAGGTGAGTGAGGCTTTCTGGAATGTGTATAAAATAAATTTGAATCGTTATATTGCATACAAGATACAGGCGCAAGCACATGTTCTGTTTAAAGTACTTCTGTATTCAGTAATTACTGATAATTGTAGGTTTTTTGTCTTGCATTGTCTGAAGGTGACGTTAATTGAAAAAAATCTTGTGTTTTTTACAAAGTAGAGAACCCTCTGGGGAGGAAAAAAGCCTTCCTTTGAATCGATTGTGTTTGTGTTTGAAACTGTGGTCTTTTATTCTTTGACAAGAAACACTGTCAAATAGTACAGGAAGGTTATTCCCTCTTTTTTCTTTTTTTTTTTTTCTTCTTCCTTGAGCAGTTTGGCTTGCTACTCAGAATCATAGTACGCTTGTGACAGAGACCACAGTGGTCCCTTTTCTTCCCGTAAATCCTGAATATTCCTCAACCAGGAATCAGGTATGCAATCTTCTTGATACTGTAAAACTATTTTTATTTAATAGGCCAGGTATTCTAAGTAATATCACTTTACTGTACTTCATTACAAGTAGATGTAACTCTTCTACAGTAGAGAGGTTAAAATAGTTTCACATTTCCCCTGCCCTGGAGTGTGCAGCTGGATAATTTAAATTATGCTTTTTGCAATAAATGTAATTGAGCAATCAACTTGCTGTAAGTGCGAGTAGTCTTAGTTTTACCTGGGAGCTCTGCTGTTCATCTAATACATGATGTAATTATTTTTTTTCCCCCCCCCTGCATTTTTCTGTAATTTAGGGAAGACAGAAACTGGCTCGGTTTAATGCCCATGAATTTGCTACGCTAGTTATAGATATTTTAAGTGATGCCAAACGAAGACAACAGGGAAATCCTCTCACTGGTTCAAAAGGTGAGTATACTTTTGGTTCTCAGCTTTTCTATGTGCAATTCTGCAGTAGGTTAACCGATACCACAGCATCATTCATAAATATTATATGAATGAAGAAAGAGACTTATACTCTTTTTACAAATGGCAAGAACTAAATCATGTGGCTAGCAGGCTATTGACAACATGCGTTAGGCCACCAAAATAAGGCCCAAGTAGAAGAGATTGGTCTGTTAAGGTTGGTATTTGTAATACAATTAAATCAAGTGGTATATGTGCAATTCAGGAACATCTTTTTATGATGGTTGTGATTTTTACAATAACTTGGTAATATTTTCCAGAATACTGCTGTACAGTTTTAGAGTGATGCTTCCTTTGACTGGCAGCTGGGATGATGTCAGTGCTTTAGACACTGGCTTTCCTGGCTGCTCTATACATGCAGGACTTTGCTGTAATCTAGATGCTCTTGTAATTTAGAGCGTATGGCTAGTTTGCCTAAAAATGTTTACTTCCTGTATTTCTTGAGCATGATAGATACCAAAGAGTACAAATACCTATGCCGACAACCAGGCAGAGCCATAGTTACAGCCGTGACGGTATGAAACGACGTTTGAACGCTAGCTCTCCCTCTGGAGAGAAAATAAATTTATTCTAATTTTTAATTTTTGACCATATTTTTCATTTGAATGTTGACATCCATTTGTCCAGTGTAGTATGTTTTGGGGTTTTTTTTTCCCCTTATGTGAATTCTATTAAACTGCTAAAGCATGTTTCTCGCCACTTCCTTTAACTTGTCTAAACACTTACAAGAAATGAAGAGACAAAACCATAAAACTGTGTTTTTTTTTTTCCCCTTATGTGAATTTTATTAAGCTGCTAAAGCATGTTTCTCACCACTTCCTTTAACTTGTCTAAACACAAGAAATGAAGAGACAAAACCATAAAACTGTGACATTTTGGACAGTTATAATCCATGCCTAATAGGTGGATCTAAATTTATCTTTTTGTACTGAGCTAGTCAAATGATACTTTATTATGGCACGTATTGTCTCTCTGGATGAAGATCTTTTCTGTTTGTTTTGGGTTTTTTTAATTACTTTAAAGTATGCACTTCCATTTCTTCTCCAAACTTGGTAGTACGTTTTTAAACGGTGTATGTTGACCTACAGAAAATGTGGAACTGATACTCAAGTCAATCAGCAATCAACATAGTAATGAAAGTCAGGATAATGACCAGCCTGATTATGACAGCGTTGCTTCAGATGAAGATACAGATCTGGAAACAAATGCAGCTAAATCAAACAGACAGAAGGTAGGTTTGAAACACCTATACACACACCAAATTTTATTCATAAAGGTAATCTGCAGTGAATCTTTCCCCTCTCCGTGAGGGGATTTAACATGCATAAATGATCAGAAAATTAATATTTTGATTCTTTTGCAAATACATTGGAGAATCATGCCTCAGTCTATGAACTAACAAAATTAAGTCACAACACTTAAGGAATTTTTGTTGTAAATAAAATGCTCCTCTAGAAAAGCAATGTGTGCCAGTGCATGTCTGGAGTTAAGGTATAGATCTAATCGCACAGATGAAATAATAGGCTCTACCAAAACACTCTTAATCAGTGATCCCATGGTGTTTCACAAACATTTACCGCATCCTACTGAAGAAACATTTACAGCAGACCAGTGACTGAGTGCGTTAAACCACTCCTGAAAATAATGCAGCATGGTAAAAAAGGGGCAGTAAACCTAGTAGTTGCAGTTTGATCTTCCCTGGTAACAGGCATGCTGCATATTTAGTAATCTGTCTTTTAAGACTTTCCAGTTCTGTATTGCATATTTAAAAAAAAAAAAAAAAATCCTTACAAAAGAGTATTGTGTGCCTGAGACGCTCAGACAAATGGGTTTGTGCATAGAGGAGCTAAGAGTTGATTGACATAAAATTTCTTCTATATTGGACTAAAATTATTTTAATGAACGGCTCATACTAATTTGAACTTAATTTGAACTATGATTCCTTTAATGTAAGTACATGGAAAGCTGTCAAAATCTCATTGTCTTGTTTTCCTTTGGTAGTCCGTGTCTCAGTGGTGTAAGTATTGTTCTCTTACTGTTTATAGAGCCTGGATTCAGACTTGTCAGATGGACCAGTGACAGCCCAAGAATATATGCAAGTTAAAAATGCGTTGGTGGCTTCTGAGGTAAAGATTCAGCAGTTAATGAAAGTGAACATCAACTTGAGCGATGAGCTGAGGATCATGCAGAAAAAGGTAACAGGCCCAACAGTGTAACCCCTTCGCTGCTTGTTGTATTTTAAGTTAAAACTGCCGAAACTGCGGATGCAATAACCCAATATTAGGATAGTAAGAAAACTTACTTTAAAGCGGAGCTGGTTTGGAATCAGATGAGACTATAAATGTGTATGTGCAGCACATGCTTTGAATGTTTTGGTTGGTTGGGTTTTTTTGTGGAGGTGATGATGACCTGCTCAGTTCACTTGCTCACTTGGAGAACTTGCATCAAGACAGTTGTTGCAAGCCTTGTATGTTTTGGCTGTCTTGCTTCAAGATAAGCAGTTCTCAGCGGTGAGGAAGTAAGAGCTAGCACACATTTTACGTATGTGCACATATGCATCTAATGTACTTCCAACTTTTCCAGTAAATATATTGGGTTTTTCCATAACTAGAATGAAGGGAAAGTAAAATCCCCATCCTGTTGGGCAGTACGAAATAATCTGAACTGTGGCAATATGATACAAAGTTTTTGTACACCAGTAGGCCAAGCTTTATTTGTTTGCTTGCAGTTATGTGCTATTTCCCACAGATTCAAAGGACATAGTGGTAAACTCAATTATTGCTTTAAACCTTCAGTGTGGGTTTTCTCTAGACAAGGATAAGGTAGAGGTATCTCATTTACAATATGAATTACTGTGTATAGATAGTCTTATACAAACAGAAGACATTTTTTGCTGAAATCCTGAATTTAAAACTCAAAAAACCCAGTTTGGAAGTCAGTCAAACCTTCTAATCTTTATATAAACAAATCAACAATTTGTTGAATGCTTTGCCAGTGTTCTGGTAAATTGAGATTTTTGTGGGGTAAAGGAGAATTTATATCTGTATTGAGTTCACTGCCCTGTCTGTCATGCTAGCCTGGAAAGGGCTGGCTGCTTCCTCAAATTAATTCTTCACCTAGCATTAAAAACCCTGTTTTCCAAATAATTACAGTACTGCAAGACTG